GTTGTTTCAACCCAACTTTGGGTCAAATATGGACTAACCCAACCATTGGGTTACATTTTTAAATTACATTTTTAACCCACAAGTTGGGTTAGTCCATATTTGACCCAAAGTTGGGTTGAAACAACCCAGCATTTTTTAGAGTGTACTTTGGAAATCTAATAATAGGTTACAGATTACAAGTTACCCTGTTTAAAATGTAACAAGTAGTGTAACTATTTCAATTACTTTAAAGTAGTGTAATGGAGTACTTCTCTAATGAATGTTTCCAACCGTTATATTCTCAAACATTTAAAGCAGGCAGGGTTAACATTACAGTAGTGCTCAACACTGAACACAAAACCCTTCCTCACTTGAATTAAGATGATAAAGATTTGATGTTAAAGCACAGCCACCACAAAATCAGACTTTGAGATCGTTGTTGTGTTAAATGCAGATTTAAAATCATAAGATGTAGTTTAATAGCTGCGATACTGTTTTTGAAACAACTCTCTGCATAGCTATGACAGGCATCTAACAATGCCTTGGGGGAACAAAAAAGTTAATCTTAAAATATAAAATGTATACATAAACCCAAATAGGAAATAAAACGGTTATCGAATAAGCATGTGTCCTGTTCAACTCCTGAAACATTGGCGTCTCATATTTTAAAGCAGTCACGGTAATTTGGGAAAGAAATCAATTAAATTGTGTGTTAACACTTTATTTTAAGGTGGCCTTGTTACACGTTACATGAACTTACTATTATAATAACTAATTATGCATAATCACATGCAAGTAACCCTAACCCTAAAGTAAATGCATGTAGTTAATTAATATTACTCAGTACTTAAATGTATAACTACACTGTAACAAGGACACCTTAAAATAAAGTGTAACCAAATATGAGCAGCTTTGCACATTCTGGTTTCCACGGTATATGTATATGTGTATACACACACACACACACACACACACACACACACCACACACAGTGCTGGGGAGTAACTGATGTACATGTAATCTGGATTACGTAATCAGCATTTTAAAATGCTCATAATCAGATTACTTTATGGATTGCATATTATTTGATCTCATGATGCAGGGCTTCCCAAACTTTTTTGCAGGTCAAACCCTTTGACCTTAAATATTTACTTGAAGTCCCCCTGAGCTTTAAAGTTAATATTTCAATCATTTAACGACACATTTGCTTGTTTCTCTGATGTCGTTTAATGGTCACATCACGTAAAAAAACCCAAAAACATTTCTAATGTAAGAATTTAGCTCGCAAGTAATCTAGAAGTAATCCAAAATTAGTCCGAACACATCTAAATTACATCGTTGATTACAATTTTCATCATGCAATGATCACAATCTGTACGTAATCTCCCCAGCACTGTGGTAATATAGTATTTTAATAGAAATTCAGCTACTGAACATGATTTTGTGGTTTTCATTTAACAACATCAGAGTTGTATGCATCTTGAAATGTTCATAATCAGCTTTTCATTAGAGAAAAATTTATATTTCGTCTTCTGGAACCTTCTGTGGTTGTTTAAGGCAGGACACTACAGGTGAATGAAAATTAACTAAAATATCACCATATTTTCCCCAACTGATTAATTACAGTACATTAAAATAAATAGTTTTATAATACAAGTTACACACACACACACACACAGGTGCCCACATTCCTGCATGTGCGCACACACACACACACACTCACTCAGATAGCACACATATGTGTACACGGATATGCATACATGCACTCACACACACACACACAGGTGCCCACATACCTGCATGTGCGCACACACACACACACACTCACTCAGATAGCACACATATGTGTACACGAATATGCATACATGCGCTCACACACACACACACACACATACATATACATATATATATATTTAGTTTAAATATACAAATGAAGCATTATCTACTTAAATATGCATACATTTCCAAAACTGAAATCTGAATATTGGATAAAGCCAGATTCAAATTTCTGGTTTGATTTTGTTGATATTTTATTTTATTTAGTTTTAGTTTTATCACTCCATAAATCAGAAAATACTGCCAATAAGCAAACAGAAATACATTCTCACCATGTTTTTAGGAATGAAATGATGTATAGAATCAGGTGACTTATATAAACAAAGCCCTCAGTAAAAACCTTCAGAATTCAGACTGGAATAAAACTCTAAAGTCTGATGTATGAAAGCGCTGCCGAGGTGGAGAACAACAACAACTGAAATCTACAGACACAAACACATAAAGAGCAATAAAATAAACACATATTTTCCCCGTCTATTCTGAATGTTATGGAAGTGAAACAGATCACAATCTGCATGAAAAGTAATGGTTTAGTCTGTAGTGTCCTGCTTTAAAAGAGGGGTTCAGCTGATTTTTTTCCAAATAAAGATGGCCTAAAAACAGAGCGAAAGAGGCGCTGAATGCAGAGAAAGTAAAAAAACAGAACAAAGGGTTCAGAGGATCATGAAAAGAGAGAGAAATTCATTAAAAGAGAAAAACGCAAAGATAAAAACTTGCTGAATCCGAAAGACTTCCATCCCGAGGGAAGCAGGACAAATGAACACACAAATCTGAACGAGAGCGAATCACACGACACAGCGCTTATTTCTTCATTGATTTGTTTTACATACATTACATACATACATACTATACATAGATACATAATTAACATTTATAAAATCCTCCCCAAAGTCTTTTAGCATCCAGTTTAAATGGCATGCCAAGTTTGAGTACTGATTCAGTACACACACACACACACACACACACACACACACACACACACACTTTAACAACACCAACACACCGGTGCCCACATACCTGCATGCGCTCACACACACTCAGATAGCACACGTGTGTACTCGGATATGCATACACACACACACACACGTATACACAGATATGCATACATGTGCTCACACACACACACACACACAAACACACATATAGCACACGTGTACACAGATATGCATACATGC